ACTGTCACCTCCTGGTTCATAGATTGATGCTCAATCACGGAGCCACGCCAGCTGGGCCAGAGGAGTTTTTTCCCACCGGGGCTCAGGTCTGTGGTCTGACGGGGGACTGGGGTAGGTGAGGCAGGAGTTTGGGGTGAGGCTGTGGAGATTGGAGTTTTGCCCAAGAACGGCTCACTCTTGAAGGCCCTGATTCCCTTGCGCTGAGCTCGGTGTGGCAAGGCTCTGGCACATCCATTTCGTCGAGCAGATGAGAGGCTTCTGGGAAGCGGATGTGCTGATTCATTCATTCTTTGTTTGAGATGCCATTCTTATCCATGGAAGTTATCTCCATGCCTGTGAAGGACGGATTCCTGGGTGGGAATTACATGGCCTACCAGATTCCTTTCTCCGGAAGGGGAAGGCGAGTCAGGAATAGGGAATCTGAATTCCTGACTCCAGGGCACAGGCGTTGAGGGAGGGAGAAGGCCATGCTGAGTGGAGGGTCAGGAAGGTGCTGTCTTCCTCGGACAGATTCTGGATCCTTCGTAGGTAAGTTGGTGTAGAATCCAACGTCCTTGAGGTTTCTGGACTGGCCCAACTCTAATCCAAAGGTGGTATTGCGTGCACACATGCGTGTGTGCGCGTGTGTGTGTATGTGTTCCATCTCCCTTTAGGCTGTCTTCCAAAACCAGATCTGTGGATAAGAGGATCTTGCCTCACTGAACCTTATAGCTTTGCTTGGGTGTCAAGACTTCTGGACCCTGTTCTGGGAGGATCTCTTGGTAGACTCAGATGGTACTGAGGGGCATGCTGAGGAGAAAAGCAAGTAAGCCCGTAGCAGATGAGCTCCACGTTAGAATGCCCCCTGAATATTCTTTCTCCGTCCGGTCTTGTTATGTTACCCCTCCCGGAGCACTCTGGAAAAAGGAAGGTGGTGAATGGGCACGGAGCCATGGAGGAAGTAAGGCGGGTATTTTGGAAAGAGCAGCATCTCCTTGGTCCAGTCTCTGCAGCAGTGATGTGCCCTTGTCTGAGCATCTTCCTGGCCCTTCCCACCCCATGCTCACGTTCTCCGCCCGCCTGACAGCAGCTGCAGACTTTTCCACCTGTGGCTGGAGGCTGCAGAAGTCCCTGTTATGTTGGGGTGGAGGTGAGTGGGCAGGATTACCTGGGGATGGACAGTGAGAAGCCTTTCTTTCAGGCTGGCCGGGGCTGTGAACCTGGTGCTGGGACTCTGGGTCCTCTCCACAGGGCAGGTGTGCAGGCCTTAAGCTGCCAAAACTACGTCTCAGGAGAATCTGTGCTATGGACAAACCCAATGCCAGCCTACCCTGGGCGTCAAGCCAGGTACCTCATGTTGGAAGTCGCCTTCCTATCTTGCCTGATCGCTTCTGGTATCTTTCTTGGGAGCAGTTTCCACTTATTTCCCTGAGTCCCGTGGTGGAAACAGACAGGCTCATTGGTTTTAGGTCTGTGTATGAGGCGTGCTGTTCCCACATAAGAGGTGGGCAGGGACATCTGCCTGCTTGGCAGGTCTAAACTAGCGCCTCCCCAGCCCCGGCCTTAGACTGACACACTTGTATCCTTTGCCAGGCTGTCGTCCACACCGGTGTGGAGGAGGTACTTGCCATGGAAGCCCAGGAGAGCATGGCGTCCACCTATCAGTTCATGTCCGAGGCCAACCAGCCCAGGGAGGAAGATGAGAGCGTGGCACCTCAAGGGACCACAGAAACTATGCAGCTGAAGAAGGAGATCTCTCTGCTGAATGGGGTCAGCCTGGTGGTGGGCAACATGATCGGCTCAGGAATTTTTGTCTCACCCAAGGGCGTTCTGGTACACACGGCTTCCTACGGGTTGTCGCTGGTCATATGGGCCATCGGCGGACTTTTCTCTGTGGTGGGTGCCCTGTGCTATGCAGAACTGGGGACCACCATCACCAAATCTGGGGCCAGCTATGCTTACATTCTAGAGGCCTTTGGGGGCTTCATTGCCTTCATCCGCCTGTGGGCCTCCCTGCTAATCGTTGAGCCCACCAGTCAGGCCATCATTGCTATCACCTTTGCCAACTACATCATCCAGCCCTCCTTTCCTACCTGTGATCCCCCTTACCTGGCCTGCCGTCTCCTCGCTGCTGCTTGCATATGTAAGTCTGGGGGCTCTGGGGGAGTCTTGGTGGGGGTTGGCGGTTACTTTCATGATGCTAATAGTACCTTCTATTGAACAGCATATTTTGCTTGTTGGGAGGAAAAGAGGTATTATGTCTCTTCAAGAAGTAATTTCTTTTTTTGGAAAAAAAAATATTTAAATATATTTTTATTGTCCTAACCAGTTTGGCTCAGTGGATAGAGCCATCGGCCTACGGACTGAAGGATCCAATAGAAACATCAATGATGAGAGAGAATGCATTGATCAGCCCCCTGTGCGCCCCCTGCTAGGGGTCGAGTCCGCAACCTGGGCATGTGCCCTGACCGGGAATCGAACCGTGACCTTCTAGTTCATAGGACAGTGCTCAGCTACTGAGCCATGGCGGCGGGGCTCAAGGAGTAATTTCACCAAAGTCATCTGGTCCTGAGATAAGGGCACAGGGTGGGGTGGGAGAAGTTTAAATTTGTTGTGGCTGTGAATGCCTTACATTCCTTCACTCTTGGCCGTCCCTGGGTTCTGTTCCCCAGCCTGTGACGGGTCGGTGCATGTCTTACTAGTATATTTGTCTTGTAGGTGTTTTGATTGGAATCGATATCACTAGTTATAACTTAACCCGGAAAAAAAAACATAAGTGGTGAGGCCTTGATTATGCTGCAAAAAAAAAAAAAAAAAAAGTTATTTTGCTTCCCAGCTTTTTATCTTAAACCAGTTTAGAGGCATTGGTGAGGAGATCGCTTCTCTAGGTGGTGGGTGATCCCTCAGGCCTGCAGGCCCACGGGCCGCTTCTGGCTGTCACGCCGGTTCTAGGAGGCAGGCACCGCACCAAAACGGCTTTCCCCACTGGTGTTTCAGATTTCTGTACACTGATCTGTAAACGAATCCTGCCTGGGGCCAGGGAGAGGCAGGTGGGCGGCTTCTACCCTGTATTTGGGTTTTTGAGGAAAGAACCCAAGAGATCTCAGCGGATCCCTCTTTCTTTTTCATTTTTCTCTCCTAAGGTGGTGGGTACTGCTTGTGTGTGTTTCAAATTAGTTAATGTGGGTAATGAGGTGACCACGGTGAATTTCCCCAGTCCTGTAGAGCTCGTGTGTTTTCGTTAGCTGTGAAGTGGCCCAGAATTCTCTGCGTTCCTTAGCATTGTGTTGCCAGAGGCACTTAATTATACCGTGTTCTTTCCATATCTCTGCTTGCAAAAGTTCTGGCAGTATATGTAATTTATCCTCCGTGTTAAAAATAGACCGAGAGCACCGGATTATAAAGGATTGTACCGTACACTGTGCCTCCTAACATTAAAGGCATTTGTTACAGACAAATGTTAAAGGGAACCCCTCCACAGATACCCCAGGGAGGGGGGAGGGTGGGTACGAAGTTGTATATCTGATAGGATTTGGCCAGGGGGACGTTGGCCCGACTGAGCTCTCTAAAAATGGAAATGGTTTTCTGATTATAAAACATATTCATCACCGAAACCTGAAAGGTCCCAGGTTCGATTCCGGTTAAGGGCATGTACCTGGGTTGTGGGCATGTACCTGGGTTCCGGTTAAGGGCATGTACCAGTGGGGGGATGTGCAGGAGGCAGCTGATCGATGTTTCTCTCTCATCTATGTTTCTGACTCTCTATCTCTCTCCATTCCTCTCTGTGGAAAATCAATAAAATATATTAAAAAAAATATTTTAAAAAAAACAACAAAACATATTCATCAAGGAGAAAATTAATTTAGCCTCAGATTACCCCTTAATCTACCACCAAGAGTTGAGGACATTTTTTTGTTTTGTTAATCCTCACCCGAGGATATTTTTTCCATTGATTTTTAGAGAGAGTGGAAGGGAGAGGGGGAGACAGAAAGAGAGAGAAACATTGGTTGCCTCCCGCACGTGCCCAGACCTGGCTGAGGATCGAACCTGCAACCCAGGTATGTGCCCTTGACTGGGAATCGAACCAGAGACCGTTTGTTCCACAGGCCGACGCTCTAACCACTGAGCAACACCAGCTAGGGCGGTAGTTCTTGAGGTCCACAGGTCCCCTCCCTGGCCAGGGGCCCAGCATTGTAAGTATAGGTGCCCAGCACTCGATTTGACTGCAGAAGTGTATGTTTCTGGCTTAGTTATTGTCGGTACGTTTATCTCTGTGGGAGCCTGATTTTTCTGGAGCCTCCCACACCTCATTGGTGAGTATTTTCTGTGGCAGTTTCAGCATGGAAGTCAGTTCAGCACTGACATAGAGGCATCAAAGCAGAGGCCTCCTCACAGTTGAGACTCCATTGCCCCTGAGGGTTTGTT